TGAATGAACTAAAAAATGAAGTGATATGCAATATGCCTTATTTTTCTGATAAAAATCGTTCTCTGGATTGATATCAGAGGAATCGTCTGAGCACCCGTAATTTTCTCCTTGTTTGTGTTCGAATAATTAAGCAAATGTCACGTATACGTACGTCTTGCATACAGGAAGGCTCAATCGCATACAGAATTCTACAGAAGAGACTGTGCAGAAAGACGTGCGCTCTTGTGAGTAATTGCTAACGGCAGAAACGACCCTGGCTTGCTTGTGGTAGAAAGGACTTTGTTTATGTGAACGGGAAGATGTACAGTAAAAGAACAAACCTTTTTTTTTCAGCTACAAATGATTGACTGTAAGCTAAATGTGCCAGTTTTTCGCTGAACTTGAATTTGGTAGTAAAATATATATGTCTCGAAAATGTCGAGTGTGCCACATCAATTTATGTAAATAAGGCCCTGCTGGTAATTTTAACGTGCCAGAAAGTTTTAGCACATCTTGTCTCTACCGTGATAATTCATGCAATAATGATACCTATTATGCGCTGCTACGGCTGCTTCAAAGTATGAGCAATATCGCCGTAAATGTGACGTGGTAGTTAATCTAGTATTGTACGGAATAATCCTCCTGACAGGCTGAAGATGATTGAAAATCAAGGCCCCATGACGTCGGCCTTCAACATACGGCACAGGAACTCGTCCTTCAGGCATCCATTAATAAACTCTTCTTTGGTGAGATCTCCGGTGTCATCAAGGTCCATTTTGCTGAATATTTGGTCAGTGCACTCTTCTGGTGTCACATAATCAATATCGCCCTCTTTGCGACTGATTTTACTGACGGCTCTCATAATGTGGAGAATCTCTTTCTTGCCTATCATACCGTTTCCGTCGATATCACACATAGAAAAGGTCCAGCTGAGCTTATTCTGGAGGTCTCCAGAAGAAGTGATACTTATGGTGAGAAGATAGTCGCGGAAGTTGATGTCCCCGCTTCTATCGGCGTCAAAAGCTCTGAAAATATGCTCGTAGAAATCCGCCGCTTTCCTTGTGTCGATCGTCGGATTGATGCACGAGAAAATGTGCATCAGTTTTCCCCGACTCAATGTCCCAGATGGATTTTCCTCCCAGAAACTCTTGTGCAGTTGCTTGATTTGTTTCTTGTCATACTGTGTGTGTTTGGCCAAGTAGAGTAAATCTTCTTTGGAGATTCTGTTCTTAGATCTCGAGTTGCCCATTTTGTCGAGTTACATGTAAGATTGAAATATTTTGTCCTTGGTCGTCCGTTGGTATCATGTACGTCCTTTCTCCCATTCAACTCAGCGCCGCACCACAGGTCAGTTATTACACATGGCACTTCACTGCAGACGAAGGGTTTACGCATAAAGCACAGCCTTTGTTACGCATACTCCTCATGGTCAATATGGCATAGGTCGCACCACGGTTTCATTTAAGGCCAAAACGATGTCCAAATACTCACAACTCTTCTATTCCGTTCTCTCCTCTTAACCCAAGTCTTCTAAAGATGAATTCCTTTACCCCGTTTAAGATTTGATTTCACTCGCTTATTTTCTAGCGTTCCTCGCGTCCAGGGACGTGATGACTAAAGCTCCGACTCATCTACATGTTAAATGTCCTATAAAATTAATACGCCATCAGAAGTAGAGGAACAGCGTCCACGATCAGCACGATTCACGTATTATAATGTCTAAATATTATTAAACATATATGTAAAATACCAGGCACAATAACACGAGTGTGGGTGCACCGCACGCTGGAAGTGAAATGGCCCTATTGCGTGCCACTGTACCACCCGACTAGTATTTTATCTCTTTCCATATCACGGAATAATCTTATCACACAAAGCCACCAATGACACGCTAGTGTCTATATATGATCATGTTCCCTGACCAACTACATATAGTTTTACAAATAACCTAATAATAATAAAAAATAATGAATATAATAATAATTTTGTATGTTTTGAGCTTCTTATAACAACTAATCTACCTTTGACTTATCACAAAACTCGCTTACAGTTTCGACAAAGCAAAGCCACAAACCCAGGTTACAATTTATCTGACGCCATCAGAAGGTGAGGAACATTCTGCACTATAAAACTTGAGGCCGGTGACCGAAAAGGGGATGTAAACAAATGATTTATGTTTTATGTACTGCAAATCTTTCCTCGACCTTTTATATACAGCTCCCAGACAAGATAATGCGTCTTTTTCCACGTACATCGCAGATCTGATTCAGATGTCTACAAATATATAACACCGATAAGAGTAACTATAATACTGTCTTTAATCTATACATCTGATATCAAGAATGTACTACAGTCTACTGATATGTACATGTAATACATTCTTGCCGATATGTACACATGCATTTAACAAATCAGACAAACCACATGCATTACGAGAGCATTTTTCAACAATATACCTGGAGAAATGCACATTCGAACAGCGTTTTAAGGTGTTGTTTTTATTTCATTTAAAGGGATAATAACTGCCCATATTGGTTGGAAAAGTGCCATGAAACGGATTTTCCTGGGTTAAACGTTTTCTCATACTTACCAACAGTTAATGAATCCGTTCCGACATTCAAAGTTAGTCCTTTTTTTAAATTTGTATTTTGTAATAATCCCTTATATATGATTATAAAGGAGAGTAGCTAGCCATCTATAAAGGTCCACGATGTCCGATGGCAAGCACAGATTCGAAAATAATTATAATAGCCTCCGTTTTGGTGGTGAAATGGATTTAATTTTTTTTTAGTTGTTTTCAGTGAATTTATTATAAAATGTGGACCTCATACGAAGAGTTGTTATCCCTTTAACATTGCTGACATGCGGTTAACGTTGATAAGACTATTGCTGCATTGAAGCATCCAATAATACTTCTACAAGCGTGCTTTGGCGGAAATATTGTAGATAAATGAAGAGGAGAGGTAAAGCTATCATAGTTTAAAAAGAAATAAACTAATTAGGTTCTGAAGATTAATTGACGGCATGCAGTTTGTACTTCATAATATGTTAAGGGATAACAACTCTTCATGCACATGTGAGATTCAGAATTCCACAATAAATAAACTTTAAAAGACAGATGGAAATCAATTCCATTTTATCACCGGCGGCTATTGCAATTATTCTGAGATTTGTTTACCGTCGGATCACGTGGACCTTTATAGATGGATGACCTCTGTAATAACCTATTAATCTCTTAAAAGATTATTACAAAAAACACACTTTCAAAAAAGTTTGCACTTACTTAGAATGTTGGGACGGATTCGTTAACCCTAGGTACAAGTGTGGCAACATCATCGTGTTTTATGCCACTTTTCCCGTTAAAATGAAGAGCTGTTATCCATTTAACCTTACGCGTTTATAGAATTTTGGAAATTTCTAACTTTACTTTCAATGAATTGTTTTTGTTACTCGTTTTATATCATCCGGAGGCACTAAAATCAGAGGCGGATCCAGAGTTATTTTCTGACAGTCTTCCAAATTATATTTGTTGATCCATCCTCCATTTTTGACCGTCTTCCGACAGAAAAAATTAGATACCCGTCAATGTAAACTTGAAAATCTGACCATCTTCCGGAAGACCCAGAAGACGCCCTAAATCCGCCCCTGCTAAAACACTGTTGTATGCACTCGTCTGTCGCACGTCAATCATTATTCATGACTCGTTACGTGTAATAAGTCTGCAGTATTATCACTGAACTTGATAGTCGTTTTTTAATATACTATGGCCATTCTTCGGCGCACTTTGTGCACTCAGAGTTATCAGCAGTGTTTTGCATGGACAATTTTGTGGTAGCCGTAGATCCAGTAGGGCGATAAATGGCAGCTCGTTCGTCACTGCCATGGACGCGGCTTATCTTGACAGACCAACCCCGCCACCTGTTGGGGTGGGTGTTTTGATTTATGTCCTACCCATAGTGTGTCGCCTGTAAGATATATTACCTGACTTTTGAACATTTTAATACCAAAGGGCCGTTTGGGAATTGGGTAGGGGTGATGGATACTCAACATCTCTCCTACATTTTCTATTTTTTTTTCATCAAAGATACACACTCGCAGTTGCGTTGAGAATGATCAACAGGGGCGTAGAAGTTAATATGAAGCTAAAACTTAGCGTTCATGGAGGAAAAGGAACACAGGAAATAAGATAAAAGTTATTAGATCTAGGAGAAATTAAGCTGACAGGCCCTGTCTCAGGATTCGAATGTTGTCCTCGTCTCCCTGCTTGATTTAAAAGACGCTTTCAAATATATCAATATACAAACAGTTATCGCACAAAGCTTACTGAAATGAATATTGACAAAATATAAAGCTTCGGTCACGATATATAATGTTTGCACAAGATTCGGTAGGCAGGATTAAGAAGGCGTTAACAAGGTCGACTTAAAGTAGACATTCTTCAGATCATTTACAAAAGGTGCATATCACAAGACACAGGGTCCAGAGCTGAGAATGAACGATAAAGGTAGGATGATTCAGCTACGAGTAGGGTCATCTCACAAAAAAGTGGCCATTTTAGTCATGTCAATGACACACACATTTTGTGAAATATTTACATGTCTGTTTTTATCGCTTTTAAATTACTGTTGATTATTCTTTATATTGGAGGGTGCTATAGTATAAAACGGCGAAAATTATGGGTCAAGTAAAACTTATGCAAATATTACCCAAAAATGTTGCCATTGACATGTCTCAAACGTTCACTTTTTGCATGTGGAATAAACCGATATAGTTAATTCCATATACGTAGTTTCACAGAAAATTGACTTTTGGTGCTGATTAAAAAAAACCACTGAATTGCCTATTGGGTTTGTAAATATTTGAAATTTCACTTAGTTTATATATCGTTTTAAAGCATAAAGACAGAAAGGCGCGACTCCTTTCTTCTGTAAAGATTTGGGCAATCCCACAGAGGAATTTAAAACGAGCAAAACAGTAGAAGAACACTTTGTTTTGTTGACCTTTTATTCTAAACCAAAAAGAACACGTAACGCGCAGTTCTAAGTCACAGTTGTCACAGTTGGACATAGCAAGTGCTGTGGCACTGAAAAATGGGAGTTAAAATACGTATATACTGTAACACTGGAGTGCAAAGTGCTCATCCTTTGGAAGGATGGTCGAAAGCGAGGCCTGAACATCAACATTGTCCAAGGGAACGGAACAGTACCACTCTCTCTCTCTCTCTCTCTTTGGTGTCATACGATACGACTTAAAATGCCAGTTTGAGCGTCCTTTTCCCTGCTCCGTCCCATATTTTCCTTTGCGTGTTGATTCTTGTGTTTTTAATTTAGTTGGTTTAGGAACAGCAGCCTTAACGACTATTAGGCCAAAACATAAATAGCGTGGGTTTGCTGAAAGGCGAGACTGTCTCCACCATTCATCTCCTACGTACTTTATTTACCCAACTTTCAAGAGGTTCGTGTCATCGCGTGTCATTTATCCAGGTACAAGCATGAGCAAACACACGCTTTTATTTAATGCTACCGGGCACAGTGACACAGAAGTGTCAAGGTTTTATTTACAGCATGTGTCTGCGCGGCGACATGATTACAGGGCGGGGGTGCAAAACAATTGGAGGATTCTGGCTGAAATAATGATAGACCTGGAGACTGTTTGTACTACAGATTGTCATTATCAGAATTTATTACGATTGTAAAAAAATACGCTCTATCACGATTCAATGCGTGTTAATTATTATTTTTATAATCACTTTGAAAGAAACCGATTTTTTTATTTCTTTTCGGAACACATAATACAGCCGCGGAATAACATCTCCAAGCAAGGAGATTACACACACATGCACGCACGCACGCACGCACGCACGCACGCACGCACGCACACACACACACACACACACATTTGTCTCCTTAGCAAACAACATTCCGTTAAGTGTCTTTAGGATGCGCCTTAATCTCAATTCTGACATTTCAGAGCTGCAAGCGTTTCAAGAGTCCTGTCTCCGTGCACACAATGCCTACAGAAGTGACCACGGGTGTCCGGAGTTGACCTGGTCAGTTGACCTGGCCAAACAAGCACAGGAGTGGGCGGACAGGGTGGCAGAGAAAAAATACCTGCAGTACAGCGAAAACCCGAGTAAGCGCCCTTGTTGTAATAGATTTAAAATCTTACATCACGGGAAATAAAATAAATCCGGCTGTGCCTGGAAATTTAATACAGCCGGTGTGACAGGAATGGTTGTCCGCTTATAACCGTAGTCCGCTCCCCATTACATTGTTCAGGTGGCATTCGCTCCATATACATATACATACACTAATCCCAATACTCCGACGTACCCTAATATCATAAGGAACCCAGGATTTCCATTTTTAGGACTACCGGCAAGGACCGACTATAATTATAGGCTAGGAATATTGGAAGTTTGGACTTATAATTAAAATCAACCCATTTCAGTGATTTCTTTGTTTCAGATGTGGGGGAAAGCATATCTTTGGTGGATTCTGAGGACCAGCTGACTGGAGAGGCTGTAACAGAACACTGGTACGCAGAAGGATACGGATATGATTACAAAAATCCGAGGTGGAGAAAAGGTAGCATTGCTCACTTAAAAATGCTTACCTGTACAAATCGTGTGTGCGCATTTGTGTGAACTGGTATGTTTTTTGGGCGAATTTGTGTGTGTGCGAGGGAAAGAGAGAGAGAGAGAGAGAGAGAGAGAGAGAGAGGAAAGGAGGGGGAGGGGGAGGAATACGAAGAGAAAAAGAGAGAGATATCATACAGTAAATGGCTAAATATTTTACCGCCTATACTATGTTTTGATTGAAAATTAAATGACTTTTATATGTTACACAGTCACTAATATTGACTATTTTAGTAATGAAGGAGAGAAGGGTATAAACTCTTATCCATGTTTTCAGATAGCAAGCGGTTCAGTCAGTTAATATGGCGGAACAGTCACGAGGTTGGAGTGGGCGTGGCACATATTCCAGGAACAGGAAAATACGTGGTGGTGGCTAATTACAAGCCTCCTGGCAACGGAAACTTTCCCGGAGAATATAGGAAAAATGTTCCGCCGCCGCTACATGTTAAGGATATTCCCATTGAAGACTGAAATATAAGATGTGTTATCCTTTTGTTAGGAATTTCTTACCTGGCTTCTAGAACGCCAGTCTAGTTTCGCATAATGCAGTGAACAAGAAACCTGCAAAGAAAAAAAAATTGAACAAATTGTCCAATAGATGCATGTTATCGAACTGTTTAGAGAGAGTTTCAAGGAAAAACATTTATTATATGTTATTGTCAGTATCATAAATCATGAAATATTACTTAAATAGCTATTTGATACAAAAGGTTTTGTGGTTTTGTGCAGAATGTTTATATGAAATGGATTATGAGCAACAGTTATTTTTTATTTTAAATATGTACATCTGAAACTATTTCCAGGGACATTAAAATGCTATGTCCAGCTCTTGCAATGTACAGAGCATTTCCGTTATTTTTAATACCCTGGACAGCTATGCCTTGATAAATGTGACCGTGAATGCACTGGAAACAAACTGTGCTTAGCTGTAGCACAGTAAATGTTTTTTTAGAAAACGCAAAGATCGTGACGGCTGCAGGACACCTAGTAAATACTGGTTTTTAGGAATTTCCACGTTGAGGTTAAATGGTTGACCGTTTCCGGGCTGTGCCCCTGTCCTGCTGATGCTTATTAACAGTATTCGCACCGTGAAATCGTTCTAGTCGGTTCACAGGAGAAAATAATGATAAAAATGAAGGCTAGCACTGCGTGGTGGAACTATCTGATATATCTGAGCTTACAACTTGGACAGAGATTTTGCAGGTATTAATTTTTTATTTTCATAAAAATGTGGAAAATTAGTGTCGTTTAAAGAGTGTGTGTATGGTTTACAAGTTGTTGTGCACAATATTCTACTTAATAATCGCAGTGTTGGTTAGGACGGGATGGAAAGCGAGCGAACAAGAAAGCGAGAAAGACGAAAGCAGTAACTTATTTAAAAAAATTAAAAATAAATAAATAAATAAATAGAAGCTCGAAGTGGCTTCTCGTGCTCATGATCTTTGATTGCAAAAGAATTAAAATAGAGCGACATTTTTACATACCTTTTGTCGGATCTAAGTTGCAGATAACAGAGTCAGAATTATTGAAGATTTTTTTCGTAGCTGATAACCGGCACAGTTCTACGGGTAGGGCCTGTAGAAGTAAATTGAAATTTTGTTAAACAGCTCTTGAATAATTCATAAAATTTTATTTTTTTCATATAATCCGTAAAACTAGCTTATACTACAAAAGTATATAGAGTATATTATGACAAGTCAGAGCAGAGCAGTGCATCAGCCGATATCTCTCACAACATAATATTGGAAAGGAAATTACAGGCGATGTATATCATGAACTCTTATTTAATGAATTACAGCAGCTCGTTTTGGATAATGTAAAAAACATCCACTGCCAGTTGGGAGCTATTTTTAAGCACTCGAAAAATACGAGTACGTATAACTCTAAAGCTGTTATACCATTCCGTTGGTTCTAAGTATTCCATGTATTATTTCCCAACAATTTTTGTGAAATACATGATTATTGTCTTTTAAAGAATGATTAACGCAATAAAAAAACGTAAATCGTTTTTTCAAGGATGTCAGCAATATAACAAATTGTTTGTGGGCTAATGAGTTACATTTGGTATCCTTATCTCCGAGTTTTCAATGGGAATCGTCCAAAAATCAATTCGCAGAAATTGGAGGAGGTTAGAATCAGAAATGACTGAAGATTAGCAAAAGCTTTGCGGTAACGAATTCAAGCTGACGAAATTTATTCGCGGATATTTTTCTGTTTTTTACAAGTATCTCTTCCGGTCTGTAGAATTTCAATCTATTACGCAACAGTGTCAATTCATCCTGTTTTGCGTGTTTCCTTTGTATCAATTTAAAGTCGCTGAAAGACGACATTTCCAACGAGAAAAATTTTGACATTATACGTGAAAGCCCCCCCCCCCCCCAGACGCAGATTCTGGCACGTTTTCCAGTTGCGTATGACGTCACACAGTGCCGACAGCCTCGTTCTAGGCCATCTTAGGTGATTTTCATTGCGACCTTGGCAGATTGGCATGCTGTATGCATTTGGATAGCCACTGGGACATAATATACATATAGTGACATGTGCAGATGCATCAGAAATTTTGCACATTTTTTCTAACACGACTGTCAACCCTACCCTGTGACCCCAGAGTTTGCTAGTAGTCTGCATTACAATAATGTTCAGTGGCTCACAGTGTACTTTCGTATACTATTTTAGGAGCCACTGATATCAGTGAATCCAATACCTAAACACCTAATTAACGTTGTTTCAGTCACTGTCTCCCTGCCCCTGCTCCAAACCGAAGTACATTTGACCCAGCTAGGTTTACTATGGTCAAAGACGACGGCGGGCAGACAGTGGTGCTAGGCCCCAGGGGGGAGACGTGGGCTGTGGCCACAGATTTTGATGACGACTGTGACACGGACATCTTGGCTGGTAATGGGGGATATGTGTATCTGCTGGAAAATATTGGAGACGCAGAAAAGGTACGTGAAATGAATAAACAGGGATAACGGTCTACAGAAACTTTGACAAATAGGCTACCTGAAATAGGTGCTTCTATTCTCTTCGCCTCTAGTCACGTTTAAAAAGTATTCTCAGTGTTCAGTAATGAGTATTGGAACAATTCTTATAAAAAAAAACAGTACCTTTCTTCAATTGTCAACTTAAACAAATCAGTGTATCTGAGCCAAAGTGCACATTAATGATAACGTTATGCGTTTGCAATATTTACTATTTTGTTTTAGGGTCAATTTGCAGCTCCTCGGAGATTGACCAAAGCAGATGGAACCACAATTGACATGGGATATTGGAGTGGTGCTCCAGCATTCAAAGACATGAACGGAGACGGCCTGAAGGATCTGCTCCTCTCCGAGTGGGATGGTACCCTCACCCCCCTCTCTCTCTTCATCAACATCGGAACTTCAACAGAACCCGCATTTGCTGAACCACGCGTGCTGCTCAGGACGTTGGGCGGAAGCGGAATCAGGTTTGACGT